TTTTCCCTTTCCCCCCAGGCCCCCCCCCCCCCATTCACATCAGGAGCCCCCTTTTTATCAGAGTCCTACCTTATAATCATCACCACAATGTTGCTGTGGCAGCATGGCAGAGGGCGAGATGTGGAGCAAGTCTGGGTGGAATGCTGGAAGAGATTCTGGATGCAGGGGCCTAACTAGAAATCACAGGGCCCCATAGCAAAATTTTGAATGGGGCCCTGTGACTTCTAGTTACGCCCACCTGATAACCCAAACAGCCCACCTGACAGTGACCCTGCAGAGCCCACCATAGACTCCCCTGGGTCGCTATGGCGATTGTTCCGCCACTGTCTGAATGCCATCCGCCCTGGATTAGTGTCATGGGTATCCATGTTCTGGTGGCTGGCTTGCCTGCACCATGGACATGCATGGCACTGTTCAAAAATTTGAAAGCACCCCTGACAAAGCCAGAAGGTTGGCCTAGAGCAGCTCTATCAGTGCCATTTACACTATACGGCCAAGCGTTTGTGGACACCCCTCCAGATAAGTTCCGGTGTCTCCAGTGAAGGGTTCTGTTAATGCAACATACAAAAGGCATTTTAGACAACCTTGTGGTGACAGGTTAGTGAAGGTCCACCATACTGTTCCACATGATTGTACCCTGTGTAAAAAGCCAGCTCCACAAAGACATGGTTTCATGAGTTTGGTGTGAAGATACTCAAGTGGCCTGCATAGTCCTGAGCTCAACCATATTGAACACCTTGGGGATGAATTTGAGCTCCAATTGTGAGCCAAATCTTCTATTCAAACATCACTACTTGACCTTGCAAAGGCTCTTTTGGCTGCATAGGCCCATATTCCTACAGAAACACTCGAAAATCTTGTGGAAGGCCTTCCCAGTGGAAGCTGTTACAGCCAGGGGCAAATCCACCACAAGGCAAACAAGGCATTTGCCTTGGGTGACACTTTGCAGGGGGCGGCAAAAAGCAGCTCCCAAAATAGGTGCAGCAATCCGTGCCGCACAGAATCAAGCAGCCTCAACTGCCTAATCAGGCAAATTAGGAGGCCACTCGGGTCTCGCAGCTGCCTAAGAAGTCTCAGGTATGATATGCGAGGTTTATGGTGGGCTATGCGGTGAGCTCTACAAGGTCTCAGGTGGGCTATGCGGGGTCACAAGAGACCCTTTACAGCCCACCTGAGACCCAAGCTTCCCTGCTATGCCACTAACGCAACCTGCCAGAGGCACGTTGTACCCAGCGACTGACAGGTTACGCAAAATGTCTTATACAGGGAGGGGTGGGGCAAATTTAGATTGGGTGGTGCCCGAGTGTAGTCTTGCCTAGGGCAGCACAAATCCTAAATACACCACGGGATTGGCAGAGGTTGTGTACATCGCTCGCAGTGATTGGCTCAGCTACTGTATGTATCCGAAGCTACCGTACATACAGTATTACAGCACATCCAACGGGCTGACAGATTAGGGATGTTTGTTTTGGGCCAGCTTGGCCTAAACGAACTAAAGGTATTCATTGTATACCCCGCGTATAAGACGACCCCCGATTTTCGGGGGATGTTTTTAAGTATAAAAAAAGTAGTCTTATACTCCAGCAAATACAGTACTTACAAGTACGGATACATTTTTGTTTATTGTCATGTGACAGTTTTTCCAAAACAATACAGACTAATGGTTTCAGGACAGTGGTGGAGCGCCAGAGCCAGGTCCCAGCTGCAACCGCTGCAACACTGGTAGTTCTCATGAAAATGCCAAGTATCGGCACTGGTACTCGAAAAGTATCTGTGCATCCCTACTTCTCACCCTCAGAGCTGATTGGCTGTCGCTGGCTGTCCGTCACGGCGTCCTTGTGGGGATCCTCGTGTCTTTCTGAATACTCCCGCTCCTGCAATAAGAGGAAGACAGCGACATCCTGACACCATGCAGGAACCTGCCACATACAACGACACAGTCATCATCCAGACCCCATAATGTCCCACAATTCCCGCTCACCTCTCCACACAGCAGCTCAATGATCTTGTTGGTGATTTTTAAAATCTTCTTGTCATTTCTATTGTGTGACAGAGAGAAAGGCAGAGGATTGTTGACGGGGGCTGCAGACTGTGGGGGTTCGTCCGGGATACAGCCTCTGGAGTCATGATCAGTCTTCTTCACCACGATGTAATCCTACAGACACGAGGGAGACAACTAGATCAGCTGCACCCTCAGATTCTGTATAAATAAAATGTATCCAGATTGGCCCCGCCCCCTGACCAAACCTAACGCCCACCTCCCCCACCACAGACAGGGCCGGATTCCCCACAAGGCCACCGATGTCCGACCTCCGTACAGTAGTGGGGGGGCAGCAGTGTGGAATCCCCCCTACGCCCGGAACATGCAGTTCCAGGTGCCGGGCAGTAAGTTGTTTTCTACATTTAGCCTTGCTTTGGGGAAGTAGGGCCAGATGCAGTGTGAGGAAGCTGCTTGTTCGTTCACTCCACCCCCCCGCACCTACCTCTCTCCTCGCTGGCTCTGGGCTCCGCCACCGAGTCTCTCTCCTCACTGGCCGCCGATGACACGAGCAGAGCGGCAGGGTTAAAATGAACCCTACCGCTAAGTGTAAACAGTGAGAGGGGAGAGCAGCCTTCCCCTCTCAGCTGTCACAGTAGTTCCAGCACGGCGCTGTGCTCGAACTCCTGTATTGGAGTTGACAGGGTCAATAAAGAGAACCTGTCACCTCCAAATGCTTGTTAGCTCCTGTGTGATAGCGATAAAGTTAAGTGAAAAAATAAATAAATTGATTAAAAAAATTATTAAATAAAAAAATAAGTAAAAACAAATGAACCTGGCCTCGAGGCAGCAGGGAGAGTAAATCCGGCCCTGTCCACAGATACAAACTTATCTTGATCCGATGTCCGCGGTTCTGCTGTTTGTTTGCATCCAGCGCTGCAAGTTTTCCTGTCCTGGGTGCGCCCGTCCATTAGTTCCCCATCAACTGCTATAGGGCTGTGTCCAGAGGCTGGAGCCAATCGGAGAAGGTCCCACAGAAGTCTGACATACGACAGATACGATACAAGCAGCGGCTTATGATGACATCAGCTTTTCCTCACCTCTCCGGTCAGCAGGTAGATGATCTCCAGGGTGAGATTCAGGATCTTCTCGGTCATCGCGCTCATACCCGGTCCCTCATGGATGACGCAGGATCAGGACACAAGATGGTTCCACCATCAGAGCCCGCAGACTGGAAAGATAATAAGGGCTCCCTGGATAATCTGTGCATAGAACATAAAGAAAGGTATCCAATCAGCAATCTTTCTGGATATGTGAAGACAAATCTCTTCCCTCCTAGATGTGGTCAAATCTTCATATTTTAGAAAGTAGCCCAAATTCTGACCACCTGACCATCGGAAGGATAAATGAAGAGCAGGGAGCTTTGCTGATTGGGGAGAGCTAGCCCAGATTTAGGTGTGTTGGACCTATGCAGAGAGACCGCTGCTTCCACACACAGCAAGGGTTCTTCTCTGCAGCATGCAGGCCAGGGACAAGCTGCGGGATCCTTTTTTTTTCCCATATGGTCAAAAAAAAAAATGTCTCCAGGACCCGAGGGGTTTATAGGAAGAAAACGGCTCAGGGACCTTAGTGATGGAAAACAGTCATGACAGAGACATAAACATTGCCATTGCTGACCTCTGAAAGTACCTTGCTGTCATGCTGATCCTCTTTCTTCATGAGGTGACTACGGACTCATTTCTGACATTCCTGGATTGTATACTTGTTCCTGGTCCGGTGACTTATAGATACAATTAAGCCACAGAGTCAGAAAAACAGCCAAGCTCCGAGCATTGTCAGAACGAGGTCAGCAATGGCAGCTCCCACTCGTGACAGGTACTCTTTAAGCTGGCTCAGCAGGCTTACCCTTGTAACAGGTCTGTACTCTGCCCACACCAAAGTGACAGGTTCTCTTTTCAGGCAAACTGAAACAAGGCTTTGTAGAGCTGAGTGCCATACTATAGGGCAGTGGTTCTCATCCTGTGTAACCTCGGGGCCCACATTTGTCCTTGGCCATTAAGTCGTGACCCAAGTCGCACTGCAATGGAACGCACTGCATTGCGGTACAGATCCACCCAGTCTCCCTATCTTATGAAAACTGGAGTGTTTCCTCAGTCTGGGGTCCAGTGTGCTGCGACGGCGCTCCATCTATATCTGCATTGCTTGTACAGCTCCCTTGCGTGCCCTATAGAGGTGCCAGAATGTGACATCACTCCGGTCCAGGCACTTCTACAGGACATGCGAGGGAGCTGCAAGCAATGCACATATGGATGAAGCTCCCTCGCGGCCATGGCCCCATCTCACCCCACCTCAAGCTGACACTCGGCACCGGGCAGCATATTTTGAATGGCTGCTTGGCCCGAGAACTGACAATGCTGCACTCTGGGAGGCTCATCTAGAAAAGTGGAAGGCATGTGGTGACCCACTGAACAAGGGGTCGCGACCCACTTTTGGGTCACGACCCACCAGTTGAGAACCAAGGCTATAGGGGACACTCAGAGAGTCGTTCCGAGAGGTGGACCGCGGGCCACAGTGCTGAGAGTCATACTGGAGTTGACAGCCCTGAGAGCCGGACGGCGGGCCACATTGATGGGAGCCAGAAGGCGGGCCACAGAGCCGGAACGC